AAATATAATGGAACCTAACACCATTTAGAAACTACTATGGAACACATTCAAAAGGAGTATTTCATCGAACACACTCGTTTAAGAAACTAAATTTCCAATTTCTGCATACAAATTAAGGAATATTATAGTCCTAAACGACATACCTAACTATTTAAGTTAAACCAGTTAAGTTTCAAAATTTGTGAGAATAAGGTTAACACGGATCAGTGAGACAGTGACTTAAAATCAACTTGCTTTCTATTGTCTTCAGCAACTTTCTCATCAACCAAACAAGCAACAATAGGGGAGAAAATGTATCTCAGAGAACAACACCATAGCCACCACATTGGAAATGGAATAATCAGCAAGTTCCAGAAGAAGGCTTTCGCCTAAAAATTTCGAGAAGAGATTAATTGTGTACCTGAATTTTGAACCTTGAGGAGCGACTAGTAGTGTGACGGTGGTGACTGGCGGTGCAACGGTGGTGACTAGCATGCCGATTTGATGAAGATGCTCGCTGAGGATGGAGGGAAAGGTTTAAGAAGAAACAAACTAGGGATAGGGGGAGGAGATTTATTTATCCCAAGACGGTATTTTAATAACAAACGCCACTAAGGTACAGATCTATTACGGCGTTTTAATAACAAACGCCACTAAGGTTCGCCTCTATTGTGGCGTTTTTATAATAAACACCACTAAGGTACGGCTCTATAGCGGCATTTTAGTGACAAATTCCACTAAGGTTCACCTCTACTGCGGTGTTTTAGTAACAAACGCCACTAAGGTTCACCTTTATTGTGGCGTTTTTATAACAAATGCGACTAAGGTTCCTCTACTGCGGCGTTTTCATAAAAATGCCACTACGGGACGGATCTATAGTGGTGTTTTTTCCACTAAGGTTCCTCTATTGCGGCATTTTCATAACAAACGGCACTACGGGAGAGATCTATAGTGGAGTTTTACTGAAAAACGCCGCTAAATTTTATATTCAGTGGCCTTTTTTTATAGAAACACCACTATATGTGAAATTTTATTGGTGTTTGCCTTATAAATACCGCGAAAAACGCCGCTATAGACTCATTTTACTATTGTGAGAATTAGATGAAATCAATTAGTTTAGAATCATTCAACTAAATTACTTTAAAACATGGAAATTAAGAATAGAACCAACTGAAAAAGAATGCAAAAGGGAAGAGGAGAATCGTTCTCGAACCAGCCAACTAAGTCGGTTCGTAGAGGAATTTGGGAGTGTAGCACGAAAACGCAGAAACATGTGCAACTCTCTCATCCCAGGTGAAGATACAAGTTGTTATGATATAAACCTAGCTACTAAGTATAGTAGAAACAGAAGAGAGAATAGAAGAATACTCTGCATTTCATTTCACGAATCTTACTTACATGATTGGAGGCTTGGCAGCTTATTTATATCAGCTGATTAACTATAACAACTGGTTAACAACTTCCCTTAACTAACTAGTAACAACACTTAACAAATTCTTAACAACTTTAGTTACAACTAATTTTATACTAACATTCTATACACTAACATTCCCCATGTAGTTCACACTTTCAGCTTTGCTCTCTGATGAACACTCTTCATGCTATTCACAACACTCTTCATGTTGTTCACATACACTAACATTCCCCATGTCATTCTTCTTCACTTATTCGGACAATCTTTTTGTTAGAAGCAAGGCGGTTAAGCTATGAGCTCCCGAGTGTAATTTGAAGCCTCTCTTGGGCAAGAAAACACCCTATTTTGTCTGGTTAAGGAGAACAAGGCTGTTAAACTCTTGACTCTCCCTAGATATTTTCTACTATGGACACTTGGCTGTTAAGCTTCAAGTTCCAACTACCAATGCAAGCATTGTGTTGAGTAGGAGAAGTTTTGATGCTCAGTAGTTTGCAGACCAATCTGCAGCACTTCCTACTTTTTTTTCACTCCAATAGATTCCTTCTTCGCCTCTACATCGACGCTGAAAGTTGCACCGCAGACATGACCTGAACTGTCCACCCTCGGCACCAGCTTCAACTCATTCAGAGGATGCTCGTAGCTCCTTAAACCTCCGGAGGATGTGAAAAAACACCCTTTCGGGAATGGAGCAAAAGTCTTCCCGCAAACTTTCTTGACGGTCTCCGTATCATCCGCAAGAACAAGATGGCTTTCAGCGTTAGTTCCCCAGAAGAAAGGTACACTTCCATTGGCATCTGAAGCTATAAATGTGTCTTTTGAAAAGTTATAGTAGATAACAAAAGCAAACTTCCCTTGGATATCTCTTACAACCTGATCAGGAGGGTAAGGACCTCTGTCTTGGAGTGTTCGGCAAGCTTCAATGACGATGATTCCCTCGTTTGCAGTCTTGTTCAAGCCATATTGTTGCTTAAGAATAGCAACATTCTCGATGTGGCCTTGAAACAAGCAAAAAATGTCATCCACAACAGCAAAGATTCTGGGGAGAAGTGAGTTTTTCTTTTCGAGAGAGTAGGCCATGAAACCCGAAGAACCAAGATTGACAGTGACGGAGCCAGGATGAATAGAGGCGAAATGGGCAGCCAAGAAGCCATTATTGAGTGTTGAATCTGCTCCAGAGTCGCCGGAACATTAAGAGCATCGGGGCTCTAGGCAATCGATTTCTCGAGAACTACTAACATTTTCTGTTATTTTGCTTTGCAAAGAAAACTAAAGGCAGATTATAATTGTGACAGAAGCAGCGGCTTCAGGATCTTCGGCGAATGATACCATGTTATGATATAAACCTAACTACTAAGTATAGTAGAAACAGAAGAGAGAATAGAAGAATACTCTGCATTTCATTTCACGAATCTTAATTACATGATTGGAGGCTTGGCAGCTCATTTATATCAGCTGATTAACTATAACAACTTGTTAACAACTTCCCTTAACTAACTAGTAACAACACTTAACAAATTCTTAACAACTTTAGTTACAACTAATTTTATACTAACATTCTATACACTAACACAAGTAATGACGTCGTTTGTCTCGCATAATTCGTTAACGTCGTGCTGTGCCTTCTTGTTTTCTTTCTCTTTTTAATTATCTTTTTTTAATTTAAAAAAGGCCTTATTGTATGAGAATAAAACATTATTGTTAAAACTAGTATAAATACAAGATGTTATCACACATAGAATGAAATAAAATATTTTATTAAAAAATGTTCAATAAATAATTATAAATGAAATAGTAAAGAATTTATATACAAATATTTAGTCGTGCGCTTTACCATAAATTATAAATTTTAAATATATAGTTTAAATATTATCATTTACAAATATAAAAATAATAATATATTAATATTAATATTAATATTAATCACACTTAAACATGAATTTTAAGTAAAATTAATCCATTACAACAACCTAGTGGGAGGATCATATTACGTAAATTAATGTGTAAGGACTATATTTTAAATTTCATGCATAGTAGAGGAACCAAAACCATAATTTGATCTTATTAGGGGGATCGGGATTGAATTATAATAAATATTTTTTATGCAAAATTGGTAATTTATTCATCAAATGAATGATGCAATTGAGGAGTACAATTAATACTCATGACCTCATAAAACTTATATCTATCAAGGTTGAAATTGCATTATACCACAGCTTCAGTTTATCAACTTCCTTCTCTAGTTCTGATACTTTGCAGGAAAAATTTGTATATATGCACATCCGGTCTACTATCTGCATCTTGCTAATACCTCTTCGGGTTCCTCAGTACTGCTCGAACTGCTATCCGAGTCACTGCCATGTTCCGAGGATGCCGAAACATTCTTAGTACAACCGTCTATTGTCTTGGGAGTAAAGCAACTGCAGGAATGATTATTGTAATAAGGTTTTGGTTGGACGGATAGATAATTCGAATTAGTCGGAAAGGGTCGATAGTCGTATGTAATGGGATAAGTACTAGGAGGGAAAACATTTGACCAAGGCCATATAGAGTTTTCTTGAAAAGTACTTTGTTTCTATTCACTTGATTTGCTTTACATCAATAACCCTATTTATATAATGGGCGCGTCTTTCAGCTAACAGTCTAACAACTTTCTCAACTTAGTAATTGCTCCCCTAACAGATTATGACGCGTGACAACCTACTGACCATACTAACTACTAGCTGACACACTACCTTCAAGATTCCCCTCGTTTTCTGGTTAAAAAAAAAACAAAGACTCTTTTACACATCAGACTAACATGTCTGGACACACACCTTATCATGAAATAGCTCAAACGATGCTTTGGCTAGTGGTTTGGTTAGGCCATCAGCCAACTGATGACAGGCAACATAATTAACACCAAGAAGATTAGCAGGAATCTTTTCTCGAATGAAATGCACGTCCATATCAACATGTTTTTTGTGTGCGTAATATAGGATTCACACTAAAGGCAACAACACTTGTGTTATCGGTCCAAATGGTTGGAACTTCATGCAACAAAACCCTCATGTTTACAAGCAATGCAGAAATCCAATTCACCTCAGCTGTGACATCTATGCTGCTCCATTATTCGGCCTTCATGGTCTATAGACTATTTTTTGTTTCTTGAAATTCCAAGTCATAAGACAGCTGCCAACAAACACCCCATGGCCTGATATGGATCTACGATCATCAAAGTCGGCCCCCCAATCTACGTCAGAAAAAGTTGTAACCTTGACCCCCGAGGTTGTTGGAGCAAACTTCAATCCATAGTCTAGGGTTCCAACTAGGTATCACAGTATACGTTTAATGGCACTCATATATTGCACGCATGGAATATGAATGAAATGTGCAACTTTGTTCACGCTGAATATTATATACGGATGAGTATGAAACATATACAACACGCTACCCACGATACTGCGATACTCTTGAGCATCATTCAATGGTTCCCTTTCATTTCGAGACAACTCGTGGGAGATAACATAGCTGTGGGGACTGGCGAGGCCTGCAGCATACCAGTGTTGTCGAGAAGTTCAAGCACAAACTTCCTTTGGCTGAGTGTCAAGCCACGATCATTCCTGTTGACCCCGATACCTAAAAAATAACCCAAATCCCCTAAATCCTTTAGGAAAAACCTCTCGTTGAGCAATCAAACAACTCTCTCAATCTCATCACTCGACTGTCTAGTAATTATGATGTCATCGACATATACAAGCACATATGTATACACACCACCTTTGTTCAATATAAACAAAGAGGCATCTACTTTTGACTAAGCAAAACCGAGCTGCAACAAGCAGTTATCGAGTTTAGCATACCAATTCCTAGGAGTCTGTCGAAGATCGTAGAGAGCCTTTCGTAGCTTGCAAACAAGCCCGGTACCATCGGATGCACATTACTCAAAACCAAGGGGTTGATACATAAAGACATTCTCATCTAGATCACCATTAAGGAATGCGTTATTAACATCGATTTGCCTCAACGCCCACATTTTGGTAATAATAAGAGACAAAATAACATTCATCGTGGTAAATTTTAACACTATACTCAAAGTTTTATTGAAATCCTGGCCTGGGACTTGAGAGTATCCTTTTGCTACAAGGCATGCCTTGTACTTGTGAATCGTACCATCCAGATTGCGTTTAAGTTTAAATAACCAATTGAACCCAACTACAACCATGCATAGAGGTAATCGACCAGCTTGTTGGAAAAATATACTGCTGCAAAACAAGGCGTTATCATTGATTGGAAAATATTAAATAAAATAATCAATCAGAATGATAACCGTGTTGTGGTAATCCGCTGCCCTAGAAGCAAATTTGCCCCAATGTGTGTAATCGCTATAATGGACGAACAATCCCCTTAGGTTAGCACGGCTCTCCAAAAATTTGTACACCCGAATACTAGAGTGAACTTGGATGACACTTCTCTTCTCTCAACTCAAAAAAACACTCTAAAGAGGAAGAGTGTTTTAAAGAAAATGTTTGCTTGGGATATGAATGAAATTGCCCACTATTTATAGGCTAAATAGTGAGGGCAAAATAGTCACTTTCAAATCACAATTTAATTCTATTAAACATAGAATTAAAATCCTTTAAAAGACAATTACAAATTTAGCATTACCAACATTCCCCGCTAATGCGAAAGAATTCTTCCGTAAAAATGAGAGCAATAAAGTTAAAACATGAGAAGAGCAATAGCGAGATCAGTAGCTTAAGCACTAGTAAACGTATCTTGAACTAGTACATAGTGATGATGAGCAATCCTTTTCTTAAATAAGTGAAATTAATCTTGAACTTTATAGATAAGGGTAAACTCATAACACACAACTAACCCCTTCATCCACCAAATTCCTCGATGTGTCTACAAAGAGTATATACAAAAGCGTATATTTGTTTAGCCCTCTATCCTCAGGATTCTAATAAGTGTACTAGAAAAACGGCCCATCGTTTTTCATAAAAGGTGGCTAATCATTCTCGCTTACGTAGGTTATTTCATTAGGTCTATCTCAACATAAACCACTCAAACTGAGTTATAAAATAATTAAAAGCTTTTACAATAGCTCAACCTCACAATAGGTAAGGTGAATTTATTCAAGTTAATTCACTTATTTCCTAGTCATAATCATCATCATTTGAATCACTCTCATCTTTTGTGGATTTGAGAGCAACTCCAATGCTTTTCTTCTTCTCCTTATCCTTTGGTGTCTCGTCAGTATTATCGAGGTCCACTTCATCTTCAAGCATCATTTCATGAGTGAGAAGGGAACCGATTAGTTCTTCAAGAGTTAAGGACGTTAGGTCCTTAGACTAGATGATTGCCATCTTCTTTGATTGCCACGATTTTGGAAGGGAGTAGACTAATTTCCTCACAAGCTTTTCATTTGAAATGATCTCTCCATATGATTTGAGACCATTGACAATTGTTGAAAATCTATCCGTCATAGCTTTGATATCTTCATTTGGTTTCATCCTGAAATTTTTATAGCTAAGCTTTAGAATACTAATTTTAGATTTCTTTACCTCATCGGTACCTTCATGAGTGACTTGAAGTTTGTCCCATATTTCTTTGGCAGTTGTACAAGATGAAACTCTTCCGTATTCATCTGGTCCAAGAGCACAAAATATGATATGGATGGCTTTGGATTTGAGTTGGAACATTCTTGTCTCTCCTTCACTCCACAATCTTGGATGAGTAAGAGGCTTGATGTATCCTTCTTCTATGGCATTCCATGCTCCCATGTCACTTGCTTGAATGAAGTACATCATCCTATTTTTCCAATAGGCATAGTTAGCCCCATTGAAGAAAGGAGGCTTGTTGACGGGCATCGAATCGAGACCGGAGTCGAAGTTTGAAGTAGAGGCCATTGATGACTTTGATTATCGATGTAACTTTTCCCGAATCGACTCAAGAGGTGATTAAACCTTCAAATGAGATAGGCTCTGATGCCAATTGTTGAGTTAATCGATCGATGGAATCGGCCATGAGAGGGGTGAATTGGCAATAAAAATTTTGGTGGAAGCTTTTGCAGAAAATTGAAAGTAATTGCACAGTGATTTACAGTGGTTCGACTTTATCAACCAAAGTCTACGTCCACTACCTTAGCTATCCACACTAAGGATTTTCCAACAAATTCACTAATATTTTCTTTCTTTTGAGGCCAAAGAGATAACCTTACAATTCCCTCAAGAATATACCCCAATTCTTAAGAACACTCTTTTCTCAAAGAGAAGATTACAAATTTGCAAACGTACAAGAAAAACCTCACAAGGAAAAATATGTTTTCACAATTCTAGAAAAAAGAAAGAACACTCAAGAATAAATACAATTGAGCACAATAAGTGTTCTTGAAAGCAAAATGAATATTGAATGAAAAATAGACTTGAAATGCTCAAACTTCAAGTTTGATGCTTTCTCTTTGATTCTCTCTTGATTCTAGTTGCTTGATCTTTCCTGTTATTGATCAATGGCTTCTAAGCTTGTTTAAATACACCTTGAATTACTTTTTAACATTGGGGATCATTAATGAAGTTATTGGAGCCGTTTAAGTGTGAAAACAATTAATATTTTTGCTTGGAGCGTGGGGGGAATCGGTACCCCCTCATGGGGAATCGGTCCCCTAAGTGTAAAATTCAAATATTCAACCGTTGAACAGTGGGGGGGAATCGGTTCCCTCCGAGCACACTATTATTTCTCGGAGCAAAACCCCACTCTCAAGAGTAAACTATCTATTTATGGAAGAAAATACTTTTTAGGAAATTTATCACTTAATTCTTCAAACTTTTCCCTAGTTTTATACTTTGACCATCAAACTTTCCAAATTTCCATTTTGGTCATTATCTAAATTTTTGGGGTATTACATCTTCAACCCTCTAGCCTGTAAAACAGGGACAATAGGAAAAGTTCAGTTAAAACAACAGTGTTAGAGACTTTGAAACAGAATAACAAAGAAGAAAAACTTGTCTCAAATCAAACAAGATAGAGAGCCTAGAAATTCAAACAAATAAACCATTAAATAACATAAAATAAAACAAATATAATGGAACCTAACACCATTTAGAAACTACTATGGAACACATTCAAAAGGAGTATTTCATCGAACACACTCGTTTAAGAAACTAAATTTCCAATTTCTGCATACAAATTAAGGAATATTATAGTCCTAAACGACATACCTAACTATTTAAGTTAAACCAGTTAAGTTTCAAAATTTGTGAGAATAAGGTTAACACGGATCAGTGAGACAGTGACTTAAAATCAACTTGCTTTCTATTGTCTTCAGCAACTTTCTCATCAACCAAACAAGCAACAATAGGGGAGAAAATGTATCTCAGAGAACAACACCATAGCCACCACATTGGAAATGGAATAATCAGCAAGTTCCAGAAGAAGGCTTTCGCCTAAAAATTTCGAGAAGAGATTAATTGTGTACCTGAATTTTGAACCTTGAGGAGCGACTAGTAGTGTGACGGTGGTGACTGGCGGTGCAACGGTGGTGACTAGCATGCCGATTTGATGAAGATGCTCGCTGAGGATGGAGGGAAAGGTTTAAGAAGAAACAAACTAGGGATAGGGGGAGGAGATTTATTTATCCCAAGACGGTATTTTAATAACAAACGCCACTAAGGTACAGATCTATTACGGCGTTTTAATAACAAACGCCACTAAGGTTCGCCTCTATTGTGGCGTTTTTATAATAAACACCACTAAGGTACGGCTCTATAGCGGCATTTTAGTGACAAATGCCACTAAGGTTCACCTCTACTGCGGTGTTTTAGTAACAAACGCCACTAAGGTTCACCTTTATTGTGGCGTTTTTATAACAAATGCGACTAAGGTTCCTCTACTGCGGCGTTTTCATAAAAAATGCCACTACGGGACGGATCTATAGTGGTGTTTTTTCCACTAAGGTTCCTCTATTGCGGCATTTTCATAACAAACGCCACTACGGGAGAGATCTATAGTGGAGTTTTACTGAAAAACGCCGCTAAATTTTATATTCAGTGGCCTTTTTTTTATAGAAACACCACTATATGTGAAATTTTATTGGTGTTTGCCTTATAAATACCGCGAAAAACGCCGCTATAGACTCATTTTACTATTGTGAGAATTAGATGAAATCAATTAGTTTAGAATCATTCAACTAAATTACTTTAAAACATGGAAATTAAGAATAGAACCAACTGAAAAAGAATGCAAAAGGGAAGAGGAGAATCGTTCTCGAACCAGCCAACTAAGTCGGTTCGTAGAGGAATTTGGGAGTGTAGCACGAAAACGCAGAAACATGTGCAACTCTCTCATCCCAGGTGAAGATACAAGTTGTTATGATATAAACCTAGCTACTAAGTATAGTAGAAACAGAAGAGAGAATAGAAGAATACTCTGCATTTCATTTCACGAATCTTACTTACATGATTGGAGGCTTGGCAGCTTATTTATATCAGCTGATTAACTATAACAACTGGTTAACAACTTCCCTTAACTAACTAGTAACAACACTTAACAAATTCTTAACAACTTTAGTTACAACTAATTTTATACTAACATTCTATACACTAACATTCCCCATGTAGTTCACACTTTCAGCTTTGCTCTCTGATGAACACTCTTCATGCTATTCACAACACTCTTCATGTTGTTCACATACACTAACATTCCCCATGTCATTCTTCTTCACTTATTCGGACAATCTTTTTGTTGGAAGCAAGGCGGTTAAGCTATGAGCTCCCGAGTGTAATTTGAAGCCTCTCTTGGGCAAGAAAACACCCTATTTTGTCTGGTTAAGGAGAACAAGGCTGTTAAACTCTTGACTCTCCCTAGATATTTTCTACTATGGACACTTGGCTGTTAAGCTTCAAGTTCCAACTACCAATGCAAGCATTGTGTTGAGTAGGAGAAGTTTTGATGCTCAGTAGTTTGCAGACCAATCTGCAGCACTTCCTACTTTTTTTTCACTCCAATAGATTCCTTCTTCGCCTCTACATCGACGCTGAAAGTTGCACCGCAGACATGACCTGAACTGTCCACCCTCGGCACCAGCTTCAACTCATTCAGAGGATGCTCGTAGCTCCTTAAACCTCCGGAGGATGTGAAAAAACACCCTTTCGGGAATGGAGCAAAAGTCTTCCCGCAAACTTTCTTGACGGTCTCCGTATCATCCGCAAGAACAAGATGGCTTTCAGCGTTAGTTCCCCAGAAGAAAGGTACACTTCCATTGGCATCTGAAGCTATAAATGTGTCTTTTGAAAAGTTATAGTAGATAACAAAAGCAAACTTCCCTTGGATATCTCTTACAACCTGATCAGGAGGGTAAGGACCTCTGTCTTGGAGTGTTCGGCAAGCTTCAATGACGATGATTCCCTCGTTTGCAGTCTTGTTCAAGCCATATTGTTGCTTAAGAATAGCAACATTCTCGATGTGGCCTTGAAACAAGCAAAAAATGTCATCCACAACAGCAAAGATTCTGGGGAGAAGTGAGTTTTTCTTTTCGAGAGAGTAGGCCATGAAACCCGAAGAACCAAGATTGACAGTGACGGAGCCAGGATGAATAGAGGCGAAATGGGCAGCCAAGAAGCCATTATTGAGTGTTGAATCTGCTCCAGAGTCGCCGGGAACATTAAGAGCATCGGGGCTCTAGGCAATCGATTTCTCGAGAACTACTAACATTTTCTGTTATTTTGCTTTGCAAAGAAAACTAAAGGCAGATTATAATTGTGACAGAAGCAGCGGCTTCAGGATCTTCGGCGAATGATACCATGTTATGATATAAACCTAACTACTAAGTATAGTAGAAACAGAAGAGAGAATAGAAGAATACTCTGCATTTCATTTCACGAATCTTAATTACATGATTGGAGGCTTGGCAGCTCATTTATATCAGCTGATTAACTATAACAACTTGTTAACAACTTCCCTTAACTAACTAGTAACAACACTTAACAAATTCTTAACAACTTTAGTTACAACTAATTTTATACTAACATTCTATACACTAACACAAGTAATGACGTCGTTTGTCTCGCATAATTCGTTAACGTCGTGCTGTGCCTTCTTGTTTTCTTTCTCTTTTTAATTATCTTTTTTTAATTTAAAAAAGGCCTTATTGTATGAGAATAAAACATTATTGTTAAAAACTAGTATAAAATACAAGATGTTATCACACATAGAATGAAATAAAATATTTTATTAAAAAATGTTCAATAAATAATTATAAATGAAATAGTAAAGAATTTATATACAAATATATTAGTCGTGCGCTTTACCATAAATTATAAATTTTAAATATATAGTTTAAATATTATCATTTACAAATATAAAAAATAATAATATATTAATATTAATATTAATATTAATCACACTTAAACATGAATTTTAAGTAAAATTAATCCATTACAACAACCTAGTGGGAGGATCATATTACGTAAATTAATGTGTAAGGACTATATTTTAAATTTCATGCATAGTAGAGGAACCAAAACCATAATTTGATCTTATTAGGGGGATCGGGATTGAATTATAATAAATATTTTTTATGCAAAATTGGTAATTTATTCATCAAATGAATGATGCAATTGAGGAGTACAATTAATACTCATGACCTCATAAAACTTATATCTATCAAGGTTGAAATTGCATTATACCACAGCTTCAGTTTATCAACTTCCTTCTCTAGTTCTGATACTTTGCAGGAAAAATTTGTATATATGCACATCCGGTCTACTATCTGCATCTTGCTAATACCTCTTCGGGTTCCTCAGTACTGCTCGAACTGCTATCCGAGTCACTGCCATGTTCCGAGGATGCCGAAACATTCTTAGTACAACCGTCTATTGTCTTGGGAGTAAAGCAACTGCAGGAATGATTATTGTAATAAGGTTTTGGTTGGACGGATAGATAATTCGAATTAGTCGGAAAGGGTCGATAGTCGTATGTAATGGGATAAGTACTAGGAGGGAAAACATTTGACCAAGGCCATATAGAGTTTTCTTGAAAAGTACTTTGTTTCTATTCACTTGATTTGCTTTACATCAATAACCCTATTTATATAATGGGCGCGTCTTTCAGCTAACAGTCTAACAACTTTCTCAACTTAGTAATTGCTCCCCTAACAGATTATGACGCGTGACAACCTACTGACCATACTAACTACTAGCTGACACACTACCTTCAAGATTCCCCTCGTTTTCTGGTTAAAAAAAAAACAAAGACTCTTTTACACATCAGACTAACATGTCTGGACACACACCTTATCATGAAATAGCTCAAACGATGCTTTGGCTAGTGGTTTGGTTAGGCCATCAGCCAACTGATGACAGGCAACATAATTAACACCAAGAAGATTAGCAGGAATCTTTTCTCGAATGAAATGCACGTCCATATCAACATGTTTTTTGTGTGCGTAATATAGGATTCACACTAAAGGCAACAACACTTGTGTTATCGGTCCAAATGGTTGGAACTTCATGCAACAAAACCCTCATGTTTACAAGCAATGCAGAAATCCAATTCACCTCAGCTGTGACATCTATGCTGCTCCATTATTCGGCCTTCATGGTCTATAGACTATTTTTTGTTTCTTGAAATTCCAAGTCATAAGACAGCTGCCAACAAACACCCCATGGCCTGATATGGATCTACGATCATCAAAGTCGGCCCCCCAATCTACGTCAGAAAAAGTTGTAACCTTGACCCCCGAGGTTGTTGGAGCAAACTTCAATCCATAGTCTAGGGTTCCAACTAGGTATCACAGTATACGTTTAATGGCACTCATATATTGCACGCATGGAATATGAATGAAATGTGCAACTTTGTTCACGCTGAATATTATATACGGATGAGTATGAAACATATACAACACGCTACCCACGATACTGCGATACTCTTGAGCATCATTCAATGGTTCCCTTTCATTTCGAGACAACTCGTGGGAGATAACATAGCTGTGGGGACTGGCGAGGCCTGCAGCATACCAGTGTTGTCGAGAAGTTCAAGCACAAACTTCCTTTGGCTGAGTGTCAAGCCACGATCATTCCTGTTGACCCCGATACCTAAAAAATAACCCAAATCCCCTAAATCCTTTAGGAAAAACCTCTCGTTGAGCAATCAAACAACTCTCTCAATCTCATCACTCGACTGTCTAGTAATTATGATGTCATCGACATATACAAGCACATATGTATACACACCACCTTTGTTCAATATAAACAAAGAGGCATCTACTTTTGACTAAGCAAAACCGAGCTGCAACAAGCAGTTATCGAGTTTAGCATACCAATTCCTAGGAGTCTGTCGAAGATCGTAGAGAGCCTTTCGTAGCTTGCAAACAAGCCCGGTACCATCGGATGCACATTACTCAAAACCAAGGGGTTGATACATAAAGACATTCTCATCTAGATCACCATTAAGGAATGCGTTATTAACATCGATTTGCCTCAACGCCCACATTTTGGTAATAATAAGAGACAAAATAACATTCATCGTGGTAAATTTTAACACTATACTCAAAGTTTTATTGAAATTCTGGCCTGGGACTTGAGAGTATCCTTTTGCTACAAGGCATGCCTTGTACTTGTGAATCGTACCATCCAGATTGCGTTTAAGTTTAAATAACCAATTGAACCCAACTACAACCATGCATAGAGGTAATCGACCAGCTTGTTGGAAAAATATACTGCTGCAAAACAAGGCGTTATCATTGATTGGAAAATATTAAATAAAATAATCAATCAGAATGATAACCGTGTTGTGGTAATCCGCTGCCCTAGAAGCAAATTTGCCCCAATGTGTGTAATCGCTATAATGGACGAACAATCCCCTTAGGTTAGCACGGCTCTCCAAAAATTTGTACACCCGAATACTAGAGTGAACTTGGATGACACTTCTCTTCTCTCAACTCAAAAAAACACTCTAAAGAGGAAGAGTGTTTTAAAGAAATGTTTGCTTGGGATATGAATGAAATTGCCCACTATTTAGGCTAAATAGTGAGGGCAAAATAGTCACTTTCAAATCACAATTTAATTCTATTAAACATAGAATTAAAATCCTTTAAAAGACAATTACAAATTTAGCATTACCAACATTCCCCGCTAATGCGAAAGAATTCTTCCGTAAAAATGAGAGCAATAAAGTTAAAACATGAGAAGAGCAATAGCGAGATCAGTAGCTTAAGCACTAGTAAACGTATCTTGAACTAGTACATAGTGATGATGAGCAATCCTTTTCTTAAATAAGTGAAATTAATCTTGAACTTTATAGATAAGGGTAAACTCATAACACACAACTAACCCCTTCATCCACCAAATTCCTCGATGTGTCTACAAAGAGTATATACAAAAGCGTATATTTGTTTAGCCCTCTATCCTCAGGATTCTAATAAGTGTACTAGAAAAACGGCCCATCGTTTTTCATAAAAGGTGGCTAATCATTCTCGCTTACGTAGGTTATTTCATTAGGTCTATCTCAACATAAACCACTCAAACTGAGTTATAAAATAATTAAAAGCTTTTACAATAGCTCAACCTCACAATAGGTAAGGTGAATTTATTCAAGTTAATTTTTAAATGAACCACCCAAACTCTGGGATAAGAAATCATTAAGAATAAATAGTCAACCTCATTATTCAGTGAATTCAATATGTCCTTCTCACTAAGAACTCACATTCAATATGTCCTTCTCACTTGGAACTCCCAAACTCTAAGGCTTTAATTTATTAAGAGTTTAATAAAACTCATCCTCTCAAGAGGTAAGTTCATCTAGTCCTTCGCGATTAGAACTACCCACTCAACTCTAGGTTACGAATTTATTAAGAATAGATATTCAGCAAAATCGGTAAATTCATCAAGTCTTTTTCACTAAGAC